TTAGATATTGTGAAGAGGAAACATGAATTTAGCTTTCTGCATTCATTTACCATTAGACTAATTGGAAATTCTATTCGGTATGATGACACTATTGTTAGCTCTGGACCAAGAAATGCCAGAAGGTGAGAGCTACTCCAGCACTTTATGAAAGTACATTGGATTTATATAATGCCCCTGCAGACACCCAAGGCTCTTTACATTTCATTATTTATTCACTCCTATACTTATATTCATACTTGTTCGAGCTCCTATTGTAGCTGCAGCTGCCCCTTAAATGACCGACTTGCAATTTATGCAGCAATACATTTTGAATTATTCATGTTTTCTAGTCAAATATAATTAAACTAGAGATCGACCGATATATGAGTTGGTGGATATATCGGGTCGATATTTGGACTTTTTAACATATTGGCTATCGGCCTTAAATCTCCAGTACAGGTCGATATTTTGTTTTGATCAAGCTGCTGCACAGTTCCATTATGGGTTTGTGGTAAAAAAAAAAAAAAAAAAAAAAAAGGGCTGTGAGTGAGTTTGTAGTGAATTTAAATTACATCACTTAAGGAAAATAATCAAAATTGGCTCAAAAATACTGGCAGAGTTTATGAGCTACTGGCTGCTCTGGATTCTAAACAATCAATACATGCATCACGAATTTCGGCGAAAGCGATGGGCAGTATTGATACTCAGGAAGGATGAAAAAGGAAACCTTTGACTGCCTGAATCATCCCGAGTTTGCGGCAAACATTTTGTATGTGGAGCTCCATCAAAGCAAAATCCCATTTGTTAAGCGAGAGGTGCAGAAGACAGACAGGCTGAGCTGCACTTTCTTGTTCTTGTGGCTTTACAACAACGTCATGTCTTTGTCTCTTTGCAGTGGAAGGTGTTTCTTGGTGAACAGCTGGTGCCTTTCGATTTGGCGTTGACTTGTGAAATTCGTAACCAGAGTTGAGCGCTCCATATACAAAATGATCGCTGCAAACTCGGGATGATTTAGGCAGTCAAAGGTTTCCTTTTTCGTCCTTCCTGTGGATCAATCCTGCCCATCGCCTTCACTTTCACTATTTTTCAATTCCGCTGGGAAGAGAAACAATTTAAACAGGTTTGCAGTCACACACATCTGATTCCCTTTTGCAGTTATGGAGTTCGCAAACTTTCCGAAGCCCATTTCTCGAGCCATTTTCTGCTGTTAGGATCCAACAACCACACAATTAACGATGTCCGAATCCCAAAACTAAAATATGACAATATCAGAACCAGAAACAAAAGTGATATGGTTCAAAAGACTAGAAAAGATCAACTTTGCACTGGGAAAACAAACACGGCGGTTTGATGCTCACTTTTTCGAAAAATCCTTCCCAGTATGCATTGCGCAATGACTGGAAGTCTGAAATTCAGGATGCATGTATATCTGCACTGGTCTTGAAAATACCCATATCAACTTAGACTTAGACTTGAATTTAATTAATTAATTTTTTTGAGCTTTAATGTATGTTCTAATGCTGTTACCTCCTTAAAATATACCCAGAGTTGTTTTGTTTCATTCACATGTGAAAATGGTCTGTTCCACTTTGTGATATCATGAAGCAATAGTTTTCAGGTTACCTTTTGCCTTTTCTTCAGTAGGGATTGGCAGTTCCAGGGCTGAAATTATCCTTATGAAATCTTAGTTTTTTTCAATATAATAAGTTAACTTTTGTTAAGTGAGAGGTACAGAAGACAAACAGGCTGAGCTCACACTTTCTTGTTCTTGTAGTTTTACAGCAACATTAAGTCTTGGTCTCTTTGCAGTGGAAGGTGTTTCTTGGCGAACAGCTGGTGCCTTTCACTTTGGTGTTGACTTTTTAAATTCGTAACCAAGGCTGACTGAGGAATCGGAGTTTTGCTTTGATGGTGCTCCACATACAAAATGTTCACTGCAAACTCGGGATGATTTAGGCAGACAAAGGTTTCCTTTTTCATCCTTCCTGAGTATCAATCCTGCCCATCGCCTTCAACTTTCACTATTTTTCAATTTCCGTTGGGAAGGGAAACAGTTTGAACGGAGGTTTGCAGTCACACACATCTGATTCCCTTTTGTATTTATGGAGTTCGCAAACAAATTTCTCGAGCCGTTTTCCGCTGTTAGGATCCAACAACCACAAAATTAAGATGTCTGAATCCCAAAACTAAAATATGACAATATCAGAATCAAAAACAAAAGTGATATGGGTTAAAAGACTTTGGTCGACTTTGTCAGTAGATGCATCCCACTGGGAAAACAAACGTGGCGGTTTGATGCTCACTTTTTCGGAAAATCACAGTATGCATTGCGCAGTGACCGGAAGTCTGAGATTCTTGATGTGTCTATTGGACAATACACTTTTGGAGACAGAACAAGTTGGACAGTGGATAGAGGAAACACTCTGCTTCAGTCTCTGGAGAAGGTAAGAGGCTTGTTTTCATTCATTTTGGGGCAAATCTGAGGACGGCGTCTCACAGGTAAATAGTGCGTAAATGAGCTGGTGGTGAGCTGCTCTGGTTGTTCTGCCGTGCGCTGTAGGAGCAACACTGACGCCGTGTGTTTGTGTTGTTGACCGTAGCCTCTAATCTTATTGTAGTTTTGAGGTCATTTTTGGTGCTGGGTGTGAGCGCCGTGTTACCATGTGTAGTTCAGCCAATAGTGACCAAAATGTCTGTCTGTTTCTGGCATTCGTTATAACACTATATAGCCTATATATAATACATCAATTCATAATATATATTTATAATTTTGGCCTTGGCGCCCCTCAAAAAATTATACCACCAACCGCCCCTGGATAATACTCCCTACAACTGTACAACAAGTCACCCTTATGGAGCAGATAACACAGATAACCTCAGTGAGAGTCGGGGGAGCGATGAGCACATGAATAATTAAAGGCGTTTTGTAGGATGTCAGGGACCGGGGTCACGGGAGAGTGACACATCGACTGTCTGTGAAATTGTACGTGTAAAACGAAGGACCACAGCAAAAGCGTCACTGGTCTTATGTAGTTTCCTGTTTGAAGGTCACATCGTTTGTTCAGTCTTCCTATTCCTGTTGGTTAATGTTTAAAAAGAACTATATTACACTACTTTCTGAGTATTTCTCTCAAAACGCTGTGTTTTAAACTCTATACACCTTCTCTAGATTCATTTGGATAATTTCAGCCCTGGAATTGCCAAGCTCTACTGAAGGTAAATGGAGCTGTTAACCTGAAAACTATTAAATCGTGACATCATCACAAGGTGGAACAGACTTATTGGTGATAGATATGATATAGGATAGATGGAACAATCATTTTTGGAGATCAGTATTTGTTGTGGGGACTACTTATTTATACCTTTTTCTTGGACATTTTTCTGTAGTATGATCAGATTTGAGCTGTAGAAAGAGTCATATTTTCTATGACTCATTATAGATACAAACTACTTTAATTAATTACTAAAGTGTTTTATTCTGTTATTTATTTATTGCAGTTGTTTTTTTGTTTTGTTTTTTTTTGGTTTAGTCCTGGTTTTAGACTTGGTTTAGAACAGATTTTTGTCCTGGTTTTAGTTCTGGTTTTCGTCCTGGTTTAAGTTCTGGTTTAGTCCTGGTTTTAGTTCTGGTTTAGTCCAAGTTTAGTCCTGGTTTTAATTCTGGAAAATATGGGAGGAGGCATGGTCTGTGCTGCATATGAGAAGGGGGTTCGCAGTTTTGTGGACCGGTACCAAAACAACCCAATGCACCAGTCCATTGTTTTAACACCATAAAAACTCCCAAATTCTCTGTTTAACTGGAAGTACCACCACACAAACATGCGGTTAAGGAGCGTTTAGAGACAAAAGTGAGCGGGGTGGAATACGGTGGATACAGTAGGAGGTGTATTTACCTTGCTGATATCTTTCATCATTTGGACAGTTCTGAAGATGGCTGTCAACAAGGTTAAGACACGTCCTACTGTATTGTCTTGTGTGAAAAATGAAAGTGAAGTAAAGATTACCAAAAAAATGACAGACAAAACACCTACACTGAAAGATTGGGAAGACCTCGTTAAAGACATATCCAAAATGGACAGACTCAATTTTACGATGAGAATGGAACACGACAAACACGAGACAAGCTGGAAACCATGGACAGATTTCATTCACAAAGAGAACTTGTAATGACACCATTTTTTTTTTTTTTGGCTCCTCCATTGTTCTTTTACAGTGATCTTATTTTATATTACTGTATTTTCTGGGCTATTAGGCGCTCTGGATTATAAGGCGCACTGTCATTAAATGGTCTATTTTCGAACTTTTTTCACAAATAAACCGCACCGGACTTTAAAGGAAACACAACAGTTGGATGGGTGAGTGGTTTTGTTTGTTTGTGGCGTTCACGGTGACTCTGGGCTTTGTTCAGTTGTGGCGTGTAGGGAGGGTGCTGTCTGGGACCAACGGATTGTCGGCGTGTTCACAGTGACTCAGTTGTTCAGTTGTGTCTAGAAGTGGCACATTGCACTCGCTTTTTTGGTTCGTTCCTCCGTTCCGTTCCTCGTCGGCGTGGAGAGATGAGTCTGTGTCTGTGGGTGTTTTTCGCTGTGCGGTCGCTGTCTGCTCCGTGTGTGTTTGCGTGCGCTGCAGCTTTGTAGTTTACTGAAGTCGTGCTGGGACACCCGAGTGGATTCGTGTATAGGGCGCTCTGGATTGTGGGGCGTGCAGTCATTTTTTGATGGAGTTGGAGGCTTACAAGCGCATCTAATAGCCTGGAAAATAAAGGACTTCTTGTCTATTTGTTTAAAAAAAAAAAAAAAAAGAAAAAAAGATTTACAATTAGAAAACTAGAGGAGATGTATACAGAAGCAAAACCAATGTTGTGGTGGTTTGGTGGGAAAAAAATTAACAAACAATGTAAATATGCTTGATAACTTGCAAAGTGTAACTGTCACTTCTCCACTGAAAAGTCAATCAAAGTTTGAATTAAAAGATAAATAAAAAGAACCCAAGAAGTTAAAACACCAGTCTTGTTCTTGTACCTGTTTTGGGTGGCGTCCCCGTGACCAGGTACCGGATCATCCCCATCACGGCGAGGGTCATGATGCTGGTGACGCTGAAGAGCATCCCCATGACGCCGTAGTACAGGCAGGTGGAGTCTCCTCCCAGCCAGGCGTGGTTAAAGGCCGAGGAGATGGAGAGCGGGTACATGGTCAGGGCCATCCCGATGTCCGTCACGGCCAGATTCACCGTCAGGAGCTCCGGAGCTTTGAGGAGACTGAACCGCCGACAAGCGCTCACGAGCACAGCGGCGTTACCCACGATGGACATGATGGCTGTGAAAAAAAAAAAGAAAGAAAACATCAAGAAATAAGGAGGATTCATGCGTTTGATTTGGTAACACATTTAAAGGTCCTATATGACACAAAAACTCTTGTGAGCTTTTACGCAGGTTAAGCCCTGGTCACACTGGAGAAGTACAACCTCGGGATAAGGCTGTGCAGGGAATCGAATTGTGATCGCGATTTTAGATTGGGATTTTTTTTTTATATATAAATAATTATTTTATTTTTTTAATATAGAGATTGTAGAACAGCTGGATATATAGTTTATTTTGGATATATTTATGTTTTTTTTAATTATAAATCACCAACGATCCAAAAGTAATCCTTGGTGAATAGGGCTTTAGAATGTTGTTTCCTTCTCAAAAACAGACCTAGAGTTGTGTTTTGTTTCATTCACACGTTTGAATAACTCTTTATTATTATTAGTCTGTTTACCTCTCCAAAGCTCAAAATGCTCTGTTCCACTTTGTGATGTCACATAGTGGTAGTTTAGTTAACAGCTCCTTTTACTTTTCTTCAGTACAGATTTGGATAATTTCAGCTCTGGACTTGCCAATGATTCTAGTGAAGGTGTGTGGAGTTTAAAAACACAGTGGAGCACTTCCTGTATTACCACATGACATCACAAGGTGGAACAGAGTGTTTTCAGCTTGAGGCGAGAACTAAGCCTAAATGTGTAGGGTTTGTGTGTTAAACATGTGAATGACACAAAACAACTCCAGGTCTGTTTGTGATGATGGTCTCTTTAATACATAACCTCAGCTTTGTTTGGAAAAAACATTCCTTTATGGTTTCATCTCATGCAGAATGTTCTATTTTCAAGGTGTCTCCTTCTTTGTTTCAAATATGTCAAGTTTTGATTTTGTATGCTGAGAAATTTCAAGTATTCAAATAATTAAATAAAACTACCGATTACAATTACAGGGTTTTCAAGGTTTCCAACTTCTTGACATCACAAGGTGGAACAGAACATTTGGAGCTTTGGAGATGTAAACAGACTAATAATAAAGAGTTACTCAAACATGTGTGAATGAAACAAAACAACTCCAGGTCTGTTTTTGAGGAGGAAACTACTAGGGGTATAAGAAAAAATTAATTCAGTGATATATCGCGACTGGGGATGGGCCTGATTAGTGGATTAAGAATTATGGATCATTAAGAATTTCATCGATTATGTTAATTTTAATCGACAAACAGAATGTAGGTTGTTGTGCGTAGCCTGACCAAACAGGGGTCTGTACATGCGTCTCTCTGCACTCAGAAGGAGCGAGCAAACAAACAGTGGGTCAGCCTGCAATGTCCCGAAGCACAAATGTGTATTTAACGATGATTTGTACAAGAAATTCCACGCTTTCCGTTCCGGTCGGGACAAGTGTGAGGCCATGTGCACAGTGTATAAAGCAGCACATATGTTTCGGTGTCCAGTAGGGGTGTGCTAAAATATCGATACACCGATACGTATCGATATTTTTCAAATCGATACAGTATCGATTCTTCGTTTTCTAGTATCGATATTCCCCTTAGGATGTTAGGGGGGCAGTATAGCCGCGCTTCCACGTCTTTACTGGAGAAGAGAAGTGCGCAAGAGAAGCGAAAATAGAAAAATGGTAAGAAAGATTTTTAAACCGCCTTCTACTCTAAAAGCAGACGTATGGGCGCATTATGGTTTTAAAGCCCAAGAAAATGGTCAGGGGGTGGACAAGACCAGCGCCATATGTATGCATTGCCAAACTGCTATCAAATATTCAGGTAATACGACCAACCTCCGAGTTCACATGCAGATAAACTAGCCTTGCCGCCCTCAAAGAAAAGCATGGACCCAAAACAACCCACTTTGGAGAGCCAGATAAGTAAACCATCCTCCAACTCTCCGCGTGCACTTAAGATCACAGACATTATCGTGCATTATATCTGCCCGTACAGTGTTGTGGAGAACCCAGGCTTTCGTCTCATAGTAAACACATTAAACACAACGTTGTATGATTCTCACACGTAAACATTTGACGGAGGTGGCGGTGCCGCGAATGTACCAGAGGGTGAAAGACGCAGTTAAAACCAGTCTAAGTGCAGCTCCGAGAGTGGCCCTTACCTGTGATGGGTGGATGTCCCGCGCCACGGAATCGTACGTAACCATTACAAGCCATTTTGTCAACGAACACTGGGAGCTAATTTCACATGTTTACAAACTAGAGCCATGCATCAAAGTCACACAGGGACCAACACTGCGGAGCTACTCAGCGCAGCTCTTGAGGAATGGGACATCGCTAGAAAAGACCCGACTATCGTGACAGACAACGCCACTAATATGAGCATCACGGTGGAGCTCACGGGCATGTTACATTTACGTTGAACCTGGCGTCACAGTGCGCTTTGAAACTACCTGTAGTCGCGCGTCTATTGGGTCGCGTGAGACGCATTTCAAACTTTTTCAGGCGCAGCGCCACAGCCAGCCACGTACTCCACTAGAAGCAAAAGCTGCTGCGGTTACCGCAGCACACATTGATAGTAGACGTTGTGACCAGGTGGAACAGTGCGCACGTCGTGCTCCAACGATTTCTTGAGCAGCAACAAGCGAAATCTGCTGCTCTTTCGTCAAGTGAGGTGAGAAAGACAGAGAAAGAAGTGCGCACCCTCAGTGAGTCAGACTAACAGCTGCAGAGAATATCCTTTAGATCAGTTAAACTACACGTGCCATTTTTCAAATTATTGTTAAGCTCATAAAAGCTATGAATGATGATGACCAATGCAAATGTAGGTTACAGGTTTTTGAAGTTGTATGTATTGTTCTAGTTAGAAACATGCATTAAACAAAAAGCACTTTATTTTCTTTAATCTTCAATAAATGGAAGGTAAATGCACCATTAATGTTAATTTTTTTTGTAAAAATTGTGTTGATCATTAAGTAAGAGGCTGAAAGCCATTATTTTTTTCTGAATCGTATCGAATCGTTTTGCAATATATCGTATCGAATCGTATCGAAAGTGCACTGTATCGAGATACGTATCGTATCGGGGCCTGCGTATCGAGGTACGTATCGTATCGGCAACTTCTTGGTGATACCCAGCCCTAGTGTCCAGTGGAAAAAAGTTGCCAGGTGAGAGTCGCTCAATGTCGATGACGAGTCCCCACCTCCCTCCCCCCGTACAATGTCTTGGTTTTGACGCAAATATGGTCACACTAACCTGCATTCCACTGAGTCATGTCTTTTAATCTGACAGAAGTTGAACCGCATCAGCGACACAAGAGCTGTAGTTTTATCTTTGGTTAGTTTATGCAAATTAGCAATGCGGTTTTAAGTTTCTGTGAGACTTGTGCAAAACTGAATTAAACGCATTATAATCTCAAACAGCTGATGTGGCTCTATAGTGGTTACGGTTTATATGTCGTAAAGTTGAATTTATTTATATAGATTAGTAGTGCAGATAGTAATAATAATGATGATCATTTTAATAGAAAAACGTTAATGACTAATCGATAGTTAATTTTTCCAACGATCGATTAAGAAAATTTCATTGAAGGCCCATCCCTAACGCGACACTACATTACACAGTTCTTCAATAAATTCAAAATGTGTTTGAATCAATTCAAAATGTGTTTGATTTGATTCATTACATTTACTGTTCTCATGATTTAAAAATAAATACATTAATATAATACAGTTTTGTGCTTGTGAATGTGGACATGACTACTACATGATTATTAGAAGTAATTATTGATAAATCTAAGTGTATTGTCTCTTGTTTTAGTGTTGGACAAACTCATGGCCGTGCACACCCTAGTAACATCATTATACCATGTCTTAAAGATCAGAGTCTGTTTTGCATTATATAGAACCTTTATTTTAATCAGCTAACTGTGGGCTGTGAAAAATCTCATTAAACGTTTTCTTTCAGTACCTCTTCATCAGAAAGTGTCGCACTTACCACAACAAAACACAACTTGTGATTCATCTCTGCCACTTGATTCTGCGCATTCATTTTCTGTGTTTTGAATAAGGTTATATTATTCTTATTGTAGACATGTTTCTTATATTAAAGCAATCAAAGTACTGAGCAAGGTCTTTTTAGTCACGGTGCAAATAAAGAGTGACAATTCACACGACTTTTCAAATCTAAAATTTCTTATAGTCAGTTAAAGGCTCCATATGACACTATTTTCTAATCTGTGTTCTAATGTCGTTTTCTCATCACAATTAGACCTGGAGTTGTGTTTTGTTTCATTCACACATGTTTAACACACAAACCCTGTAGATTTAGACTGAGTTTTTGAGCTTTGGAGATGTGTGAATGAAACAAAACACAACTCCATGTATGTTTTTGAGGACGTAACAGCATTATATAATGTACATAATATAGGACCTTTTCTTGGTTGACTAAAGATATGCCCTGTGTATCGATTAAATGGGGGTGCGGTATGGCAAAAATAAATCCAAATTATTCTTAAGAATTCCACCAAAAACAACTGTATACAGAGAAGGAGGATCTACATAAGTGAAAAGTCAGATTAAACCCATGGTAGAAGAAGTGCTCAAGTACAAGTACTGAAAAAAAAAAAAAAAAAAAAAAGTCCTTTGCTCTTAGTTTATTTCATACTCAGATACTCAAAATCAAAGAATAAGATCCAGGATGTGTGACTGTATTGATTTCAATGTTTAGTATTTGGGCTGAACTTTTTTATTCACTTTTCTAATCATGAACCTTCATTGTTGAAAATCTTGACTTTTCACAGTTTGGTCTTGGAATGTGTAACTTAGTAAACTTAATGAACTGGACAAAACAGGAACCAGACCAGAACCAGATCAGACCTGAGATTACACTCTGCACAATCTACACTTTGTATATTTGATATTATATGTTTGCATGTGCATTATATTAAAAACATTTCGGCTCGTCTATGAAATCCAAATAATACAAAATCTTACCAAATAAAAATTAGAAGCCCCACAGCCTCTCTCCCCCGACCACCCCCACTCCCCCACACCGCCACCACAT